GTGCATCACCTGAACTGATCCAGATGGCGGATAAAATCATCATCGAAGTCAACACCGCAGCTCCTTCCTTCGAAGGCCTACACGACATCACCATGACTGATCTCCCGCCGCGCCGAAAGCCCTACCTCATCATGTCCCCAGAAGATCGCATCGGTACACCGCACATTCCTGTTGACCCAGAGAAGGTTGTGGCTATCGTAGAGAGCGACTATCCCGACCAGACTCAGCCAAACGCCGCAGAGGATGAAACCTCAAGGGCTATCGCTGCGAACTTGATTGAATTCTTGAAGCACGAGGTCAACCATGGTCGTCTGCCAGAGAATCTCCTGCCTATTCAGTCTGGTATTGGAAACATTGCCAACGCTGTCGTTGGTGGACTTGCTGTATGTTCTCTTTCTGTTGCATGATTGATGCTTTGTGCTGATATTTATAGTCCGGTGGCGCAAACTTCAAGAACCTCAAGGTATGGACCGAAGTCCTCCAAGACTCCTTCCTTGACCTCTTCGACTCTGGCAATCTAGATTTCGCGACGGCAACTTCGATTCGTTTTTCTCCCGACGGCTTCCACCGCTTCTACGAGAACTGGGATCGCTACGCGCCTAAGCTGCTACTCCGCTCCCAGCAAGTCTCCAACTCTCCCGAGATCATTCGACGTCTCGGTGTCATTGGCATGAACACACCTGTCGAAGTCGATATCTACGCCCACGCCAACTCAACCTGTGTGATGGGTAGCCGTATGCTCAACGGTCTTGGTGGATCCGCCGACTTCCTTCGCTCTTCCAAGTACTCCATCATGCACACCCCCTCATCGCGTCCCACAAAGACCGACCCAACTGGTGTGTCCTGCATCGTACCCATGTGCACGCACATCGACCAGACAGAGCACGACCTCGACGTCATCGTCACGGAGCAAGGTCTCGCTGATGTTCGTGGTCTCTCACCCAAGGAGCGTGCCCGCGTCATCATCAAGAAGTGCGCACACCCCGACTACGTACCTATCTTGGAGGACTACTTCAACAAGGCGGAGTTTGAGTGCCTGAGGAAGGGCTGGGGCCATGAGCCGCATCTGCTGTGGAACAGCTTCGATATGCACAGGCATCTGAATGACCATGGCACTATGAAGCTGCCCAAGTGGGACTACAAGAGTTAGGAGAGGGGCATGTATAGATAGAATACAGTATTCGGATGTAGACAATGTACGCAATCAAGTTAGCCTAATAGTAGTCCAGATGAAACACGACAAGGTGAAATAGCAGATCAATCAGCTCATACGTGACCAATAACAAGTAAAAGAGCATGTTTTTTTTTTTATGGTACTCGTCATGTTGTGGACAGACATGCTTTTTGCTACACTTTTGACCTCACCACTGCGACCATCGACGCTCTCATCCATCTACACGACACCTCTTTTCAACAACGGCATGTCGCGTGTTTGACTAGCGCGACCATGTTGCACGCGGCTCGACCATAGGATTGGGCGATGATGCAGGTGGATTGCCTCTTCTGCAACTGGTACCACGGATGCTACCTCAGACGAGAGCATGACGTGGGCGCGGGTGTTTGATGCAGGTGTCGAGCCAGAAAACTCTGCTCAGACCAGGCGTTTCCGTGCAGATGGCATGGACGCGCTCTTGCCGCGAAAGTCGGGATCGTTCGCTCGTTGGGAAGTGGATTGCCACCGCTAGAGCTACCCGGACGTGGACGCGTCGGCTGGCACCATGTGACTGCGCGGCTCACAAGCGGCGTCAGGCTCTTGCAGATGAGCATGCGCCCGGCTCTGCCCTCTTCCACCACACCGAGACGCGACGCAAGAGCCTCACAGCATCCCTGACATCTCCTGCCATCTTCTGCGCGCCCTTTGCAAGTTGTTCCGCGGTGCCCAACAAGGAACTGTTCCCGCCCGTTCGCGCGTCTTCCCGCTATCTCGCGTGCTGCGCACGAACACGGTCCACGGTGCTGCTACGACACGTCTCCGACCATCCAACTCCCACCGAGACCCGCCATTGGGACGTTTGCTACCCTGGCATCCTTACCTGCATCTGTATTTTTGGCGCAGCTGCTTTCACTTTGACTGTGAATTGCACGCACAGCGCGAGTCGCTAGTTGCCTCCTACCCCGCCGCCACGCCCGCGAAACCATGATGCGTAAGTCGCGTTCCCCAAGCCGAGTTAATGACCCCGGTACTCACGCTGCCATTGCACCAGCAGAACACGCCCACGCCACCCATACAGCAACTATTGCTACTGTAAACAACGCAGAGCCCCAGGCCTCGCAGGAGTCAGTCCAGTCTGCTGTGTCTAGCACCTTCTCGGCACCGGCACTTCCCTCCTCGTCGAGCAATCTCTCCACGGCCACCACTACCGAGACCGACCTCACGACCCCGTCCTCGACCAATGTAGCGAGCCAAAGTAATCCTACCGAGGCCCCAATGCCGGAATCGTCAAGTCAGAGCACTGGTGGGCAGGTGCGAGCGGCACCACGCATCGATACTGCTGCTGCCAACGTGCTCCAGACTGGTGACACAGCAGCTGGTTCCGCGCCACTAGAGTCCCCAGCAAAGAGCTCCAAGAGGACTGTAGATGGATCTTTCAAGAGCGCTGGGCTAGCGCCTGAAACTCCATCAGCGCCCACTCATTCACACAAGAGGAACAAGAGCATGGACACACACTCAGGTCGCATTGGAGAGGTGCGTAGTCTAGCTCCAGGCCAAGCTTACAGTCTGCTAACGCGAACGCAGCTATCCGCACAGCTCAAGACGCGTCTTTCCTACGCCATGGTCAAAGTCCAGAACGGCTGGGAGAAGCAGTCGCTCGACGAGCTGGAAGAAAGCCAGTCACAGCGTGGTTCGCCTAACTCTGCTCCTGGGAGGACTGACCATCTAGCTTTCGAATCACCTGCTACCATCGATCGCCAAAGAAGACCGAGCGGCGTTTCTGACATCTCAGACCAGATGATCATGTCCCCGGCCTCTGATCCAACCCGGTCACTTGCAGGGACTCCAGCCTGTTAGTCGACCCCCAAAACTTCCTTTAAACATGCTAACATCTGCCAGCCTACTGGCGACCTGGTACCCGCCCTGCCATGAATGCCGCAGCAAACCTCATATCCATCACCGGCGCACAACACGGCTATGGCCTCGCACCAGCCCCAACCTTCCAGAGTGGGCGAAGACGACGCTCCAGCGTCTCGCATGTGCCCCCTCCGCTTCTCGGCGCCAGCCAAAGGAAACACTACAGTGATGTTGGTGCAGGTCCACGATCACCAACCACTCCTCGAGCAGGCATCCTTCGCATGCCCAGCCAACAAGCCGAGAAGGACGCCGTCGACACACTCCTCTTCATGAGCAGCCCCAACAATTCACAGCGCTTCCCAGCCGGTGGCCAACCAGCACCAAGCCCCCTCCGAGCCGAAGCACCTCAACGACGCGTGATGTTCGAAGCCTACCCACCACAAGACAAACGCGCCATGTACCAGCCATCGATGCCCGCACCGCCCCACCACCACCAACACGGACCGTACCCCGCGTACCCAGCGAGATAACAGTAAGAGCGTCTCCGATATGAGAATCCACTCCCCACCCTCTCTTCAATACTATTCTTACGGCTCGACGATCGCATTGCATGGCTGGCGTTGAGATACCCCACTGCACCTATGTCCACATTGTTACTGTCAGCCACCAATCTCCACACCGGACGCATATGTTGTTCATGCCTCGGATGCTTTGGGAGGTTGTATTGATATCGCTTGGCTCTCCTTCTTGTATGAGCTTTGCTCGATTACGCTTGTTTACTTTGGCTCTCTGGCTGTGGCTGTTGTTGGCCTCGAGTAACATTTGTATGTTTGAGCGTGTGGATATGTTATGAATAGGTATTATGATTGTGTAACGAATAGATGATATATGTATATTTTGATGTGTGGGTTTGTGTGGGTTTGTGTGGTGGTGATCTGTGGGGTGGCGATGTATTAAGCACGGGTGGATTGGATTGATAGGGTAGGTAAGAGAGTGTATCGGTGATTTACTGGACAGTAACAGTGCCGGATGATGCGGTCGTGGGAGAGAAGCTTGTAGTTTGAGACATAGTTACAGCTACAGCGCAACAAGCTTACTGCGTTGAGTCGGAATTGGATAAAGGCTTTAGTTGTAATCCAGCCATGTCGACGTTATGACAAAATGAACAGAGGTCGAAGTCAAAGTCCTCGTTGAAATCGCCGTGTGCGAAAATGAGGATGCAGAGTAGATGGATTTCCTTGCTAACTATAGCTCCTTCCTCTTTTAAGGCTTCCGTGAACTCGGTATGGAGATCGCTTCCAGATGCCAAGATGATGTCGTTGCGGAAGCTGTGTGTGGCGGCAGGTACGACTACTGAATACTGTACACGGATGCCTCATACCCCGAAGATCTTGAATAGGCCTGCGACCTACATGGAGATGCAAACATGCAAAGCAGATGACCCAACGCCGATGTAGGCTCTAGGGTGTTCTAACTTATGCACTGAAGCTCTAGACAAATACGTTCGCATCTTCTATCATGTCGCGAAGAGCATTCCAGTCAGGGGCTATATTCGAAGGTAGACTTGTTAGATAATCGAAATGGTTGCATCCACCCATCCACGACGCCTTACCCTTCTCATGCACAATTTGCAGGCAGTAGATAATCGTGCGATCACGTCGACCGCATCTAGAGCCGTTGTACTGAATGATAGAGGTACTGTAAAGAAGGAGTAAACAATGCTATCGGCAGATAGCCACCTGGACAGCTTCGAATCGCAACGAGCAATGCTCTAGCAGAAAACATTGCCAGACCAAGTCAATGTGGAGAAGATCGGCTTCTGTGTACTGGAATGCTATCTCATTGGCAGCGATCAAGGCGAGGGGTAAACGCATGTGTACCACGCCGCCTGCCGCTACGTCACAACGCCTCGTACCCCCAACCTTGAGCAGCAGCCCCAATACCAGAAGCGCAGTTGATACCTCTTAACATCTCGCTCCACCAAAAAGACATGTCCAGCGAAAAGGTTGCCACCGATAGCAATCGTGACGTAGGTACCGAAGCCATCGAACGCTACTCCGTCTTCACCAAAGCCGAAAAATGGTGCATCGTTGCACTAGCATCATACGCAGCGTGGTTCTCCACGCTGAGCAGTTTCATCTACTTCCCAGCAATTCCCACGTTATCGAAAGAATTGGGAGTGTCTGTCAATAAGATCGACTTGACCGTGACGACGTACATGGCGGTCGCTACTTTCTCGCCTATGCTGGTAGCTGACGCAGCAGAGATACTTGGACGGCGGCCAGTGTATGCTGTCACTTTGACCGTGTATTTCATCGCGAACCTTGCTATTGCGTTGTCGAAGACATATCCGGCGCTTCTTGCTCTTCGCGCATTGCAGGCTTTGGCCATCTCTGGTATGTGTTATTGCAGTCGTTGAGTCTGCTTCTTACCACTTTCAGGTACATTCTCGATAGCATATGGCGTTGTCGTTGACATTGCGTCACCTGCAGAAAGAGGTTCTTTCGCTGCACTAGTATCCTTCGCGTTCGTCAATCCTTCCGATGTCAAGACACAGAATCGCTCATAGTTGCCAGTGTGACAACAGCACCTAGCATCGGGCCAGTCCTTGGCGGTAGCCTTACGTCGGTGGCTGGCTGGCCTTGGATCTTTTGGTTCCTGTGCATCGTATCGGGATCTTGCCTCGCAGCTATGTTACTGTGCTTACCGGAGACGTCGCGAAACATCGTGGGTAATGGATCAACTCGACCGACGAAGCCTCTGCTACCACCTCCGCTCATCATGCGTCATTGGGATGCTAGCGAATTTGAGCTTGCGCGAACTTGGCGTATGCCTAATCCGCTGAAGTCGCTCATGATACTTCGACGTTTAGATAACGCGATTATCATCCTAGCTTGCGGGTTGCTTTACGTTGTACACACCTGTATTAATGCTTCACTATCAACCTTATTCGTCGACGTGTATCATCTGAATCAGCTCCAAGCCGGACTTATCAACCTCCCTTTTGGTATCGGCGGTGCTGCATCTACTTTTGTGTCTGGCCAGCTTCTGGACCGAGCCTGGCGCAAAGCCCGAACCGCGCAAGGCTTATCCACAGATAAGGTCGCTGGAGATGATCTGGACAGCTTTCCTGTCGAAAAAGCTCGGCTGCAGGTCATCTGGATACCCATGTTCATGATTGTGGCGTCCATTGTAACCTACGGGTGGGTGTTGCATTATCGGAAGGTGCGTCATATCCCCAAGCTCTAACTCTACTGATGCTCAAACACTAAAGCCAATGGCCATATCACTCGTCCTACAGTTTGTAACGGGATTCTGTATGCAGCTCGACTTCAGTGTCAGTTCCTTCCTAAGAATCCTCCATACGGAGCCTGAGAGCTGAAGAGGGCGCAGATCTACAACACGCTCCTCGTAGACAAGAATAACCGAGCACCGGTAGTTGCACAAGCCTCTAGCAATATAGTTCGCTGCGCCTTAGCAGCAGTCACAGTATCATTTCTGCAACCAATGATAATATCGATGGGCGTAGGCGGAACTTTCACCTTCATGGGCGGATTATGCCTGCTTGCTCAATGCTTGTTTCTCGTTGATTACCACAAAGGAACTGCATGGCGACAGAAGCATCTCTATAGTCCGTAGCGCTCTCCACATAATCAACCGTACATGCTCAACTGAAGCTTGAGCATCTCACCACTGCGACCTCTCCATTCCGTGGGCACAAAAGAGATCTCTCTTGGAGCCAAATCATGCATAATTCGAGACAATCTTTGCTGACCCAGTCTGCTGGCAATGCAAATATCTCGCTGAATCCTTTCTCCTCATGGGCTTGTTGATTCGTGACCTGTGATGGTTGCGCGAGTCTAGCTTCCGACGGAATTTCCCAGGAACAGATAGAGAACTTCCGTGACAGGAAGAGTAATCGATCGCGTTTGAGGAAAGCCAGTGCTAAACCGATTTGAGAAGCCATTTCTTCTGGGAGGGGCATGGAAATGACTATCTGTCGATGTGCGCTGACCGTTTCTGGTTGAGTCTCGACGCTCGTGCTTGTTGAGAACGATGAGGTCGCGAAGTAGAGGAACTCTTTTATCTTGGACTTGGTGCTTCGCGACATTTGAATGAGGATGTGTTGATTGTCCGACGTGACTAGTATGCGCTCCACGGTTCTTGACGTAGCTGCTTGATCTGATGGTACTGGGGTATCTGGCTCAAGTGATCTCTCGATACCATACGTGCCACAATCGTCCAAGTCCCAAGATAGCATCACGACCGAGTTATGACCAAAGCCAAGAATCAGCGCTGGATCTTGAGGATGCGCAATCCACTTGCGGTCATGTTCGGGCGCGGGTATTGAGCGCACTACCGAGGCTAACTCGAGTGAAATCGTGCAGAGCGTTGCTGATGTAGCTACGAACAGATGGCTCGAGTCTGGCTGAAACAGCAGCTGCTGTATAGACCCATCCGTAAGGGTCTTGAGTGAGACTTCGAATTGATGCTGCGCAACACCATCATTTCTTGATGCATCCATGTTCATAGCCATGACGAAAACCTTCTTGCCCGAGTCGGCAAAACATATGTAACGGCCATCATAACTCCAGGACACCTGCTCGATGCTCAAAAAGCCTTTGGAGGTATGCAGTTCTGTCACCATGACCTCTTTGGTGTTGCATAGCATTACGCGTCCGCTTTCAGTACCGTAGCAGTAGTACTGACCGTTAGGTGAAGCTGCGAGCACGGTGATCGCATCTATCCTCCGGGATGTATGGACAGGCGTTATTGACTCTTGTGAGGAGCTTTCAGACTCGCCTTCGGTATCCGTTCCTTTTATTGCACTCTCCGCATATCGCACCAATGCTGCAGGCTCCCAGGTGTTTCCGTAGTAGCCTCGCACGTCGTAGATGCGTCTGTGATCAGCGCTAAACGCCAAGCCGAGGATGGCGTCCTGAGATGAAAGTTGGTAGATTAGGTGAAAGGTGTTGGTGGTATATATCTTGATCGCACCCCGTACATCACCTGTTGCGAATAGGTTTCCGTCTCCGCTAACAGTGAGTATTGAAGCGCCTGTGAAGATCTCTTCGGGCTCACCTCCATATGGATCCCACCTGAAGACTACCCCATCATTGTATAGTCCAAGAACTTGCGGAGAATGCGGGAGCCACTTTGCTGCAGCGACTTCGCCTCTCGCAACTTCTTTCCGGGCGCGCCAGCAGTGGCCAATATGATAAGGGCCTTCCACTTCCCACGCGGATAGTGGATGGCCGCGGTATGCGACTGCCATCAAATTGCCGTCACCGCTAAGTGCCATGTAGCTTGCGGCGTTCAAGAAGTGACCTTCGAGTTCCTCTTCCTCAAAATTCGCGACAAGATTCCAAGTCGGCGATGGCTTCTTGATCTCAAGTGAATGTAATTGCTTATCGTCTGACCCAACTAACAACGTTCTGTTGTTGTTCACAAATGCGATGACAAGTGGACGCGATCGTGTCGCTGGGTTCGCCACTGTCGCTATGCAGTCTCCCGTAGAGATTACCCAGATCTTCGTAGTATTGTAGCCGTATGTGACGAGTAATGTCCCGGAAGAGTTCAGTTTCATCATGTATGTACGTTCACCATGTCTGATGGGACTCGTCGCTGTCTCCTCAAAAAGGGAGGTGTCGAACAAAGACGCTTTTCCCGAGGCGGCCAGTACAGCGACATAATTTCCCGCAGTAGATACAAAGGAGGCATAGGTACCAAAGCCGAATGACAATCTTGCGAGAGAGTCGTCCCATGTCTGTGTCGAAATCCCGGAAACCATCAGACTCCTTTGCTCTGTTCTACCAAACTGCTGATAGATAGCTGAGTTGTGCGGACAGAAAGGAGCAATGGTTTTGTGTATCGTAGGGGGGTTGCGTCGCAGGATGGCGCCAAACTTGCCAATGATTTTGACGAAGTCCACTGCCCAGGCTTCGGCCTGCTCCAGTTCCACAACGTCCCTCTTTCCGATGCTGGCTGGAAGCTGGGATTTCCTCTTGTTGACATAGCCGAGCAAATTCTTCGACGCCTGAATGAGTATGCGAAGTCGAAGTTCAGTTGCTAGGATATGTATCCACGTCAGTACACAATGGCCTGTCAGGAATTTGTTTATGACACTAGCCACGGCTTCACTTCCGGCTGGCACTGCTGCCAAATGGGATGACCACCAGTTCGAGCTGTAGCTTGCAAAGTCCGGTATACCATGAGTAACCTCTGATCGAAGGCCACTAGACATAAGACATCGCATGCAGCTTAAGAACAACTGCTCATGTGCTTGGCGTCGATCTACTTGGAAAGGTCGGCGGATAGCGCCAAGCAGATACTCTCGAGCCGTTTCATGAATCATCGCGACGTTGCCATCATTGTCAATGACCACAAAGCCGCTACAGACATTCTTGATGGACTCTTGAATGTCTAGAAACTCATGCTTGTCACCTTCTAGTGCCTGCAAGAGCTCCTCTATTGTGAGGGCGCGGAATGCACATGTGACACATTGAAGAACGACTGACGCTAGAGCGGTGTCGGCAGATGATTGGTGCTCGGCGATGGTAACAGCCATGCGGTCGTAGATTGCTTCCATTCCACGGGGAAACTCGTGAAAAGCTTGCTCGACGGCGGAGAGCGTATGACACGAGTTGATCTTTTCTACAGCGAGTCGTACCCACTGAGAGGTTAGCAACCCCATAGCATGGTACTGGATATCAAACTTACGAGAAAGTTGTCCTGCGCTTCATGCAAGATACGCTGAATAATATCATCCCTGAAGCCCTTGCTACCAGGCAAGATGAGTTCCCGGTCAACATAGCAACGTAAGTCATCCACATGGCCCTCGATGGTGATCGTCTCCTGGAAGATTGTGTTTGGTGTATGCTCCAGACCAGCAGCTATCTCTGTAGTGTCGCGACTGACCAAAAGGACTCGGATAGGTGTCGCAGAACCAGCAATGTCAGAGAGCAGGTCTATCAAGGCTTTGGGATTATCAGCTTCGTCAAGGCCATCGATGACCCAGTAAAGTGTTTTACTAGGACTGAGCTTGAACAATATGGATCTGAATATCCGATCCCAGATCGTCCTCGGGTTGGCAGCCTCAAAGTCGACAGCTTCGCTTTCAACCCCCGCTACCTTTTGCAGAAATTCAGGTAATTGTTGCGCAATCTGATAAGCGATGGAACGCAGGAGAAAGCTCAGAGTGCGCTTTCTTCTGTCTGCGAACCGCACGAAAAAGTACTGACAGCAGAAATCGCGCTCGATCAGGCTGTTGATGATAAACGAACTTAGAACCGACTTTCCTCGTGCCGCGGCCCCCTTCAGCCAGAGTGTCTGATGAGAGGATACGTGAGGATTCAGCCAATCCACGAAGCGCGGTTCTTCATGAATCCATTGGTTAGTACCCTGAACCCATTGGTCCCGGAAGAAGATGTAGTCAGTGTTGGGGAACTCGGCGATAGCTAATATGGCTTTGAGATCCCTTGATCGTCTCCTTCTCGGTGCGCTCTGGCTTCCAGATTGACTCTTCGATATTGACTTGCTCACGAGTGATTTGAGAACATTCCTCACTGTGATATAGTTCGGGTCGTGAGGGCTCTCATACTTGCAGACACCGTGGTGGTCTGCGTTCAGAGGGTTGGATGTCTCTCCAGGATATCCGAGCAGCGACGAATCCCTTTCTAGCACCATCTTCGCATGTTAGCAATGAAGCTAAAGTTGTACATGTGCAACTAAGTCACTCACCACTCGCGCTCGCGCACTCTTTGGCCCGATCGAAGTCGGCTGTGTCTCGTAGAAGGAAACGATCTTCAGCTTTGGTGCAATGTGACGAAACTGTTCATTCAGCTTCTGTAACGTGGACGAATTCCGCGTCAGCTCAGAAATGAAAGGCTTGGAATTTGTCACGGGAGTCGACTGTAATATTCGGTTGAGCACGTTGGCCAAATTAGTGCCACGATGTGGGGTCGAGAGGAAGATGATTGCTGAAATGGCTTTCACTATGTTCTCGTACTCTGGATCGTTTTGCCCCTGCATGTAGGCCTGAAAAGTGTGAGCAGGGTACGTGCAACTGATGAGTGATGTTACCTCTTTGACGATTAGACCGCCCATGCTATGGACTACGAACAGCAAAGGCACCTGAAATGCGGTTTTAGCAAAAGTAAAAGGCCACAATAAAATTGACTCACTTGACCCATGTTCAGATTTTCGCTCTTGTCATCCGTGTAATACTTGAGATTGTACAGAAGAGTCTTGGCGAAGTCCAGTATCACGTTGGTGGCATTGCTGCCATTGGTGAAATCCGCATCGTAGCCAAAGCTCAGAATCCTCGCAAGGCAGATATCTGGCTCGAGTGGTAGGAAAGTCAAGGGCCAGAAGAGTCCAGGGCTTTTGTGTTTCGACCAAGTCATACGGCTACTTCCACCTAGCCCATGTATGAAGACTATGTCGGCTTTATGTCCGTTGTCTGGCGTATATACCACGTTTAGTCCTAGAGCTCCAGGGTCCATGTGAGTTGGAGACGTGGATATTTGGGATGGCGAAGGAGTGTTCGAGTAGCGAACATCGTCTTCCTGAACGGGAAAGAGCAACGGGTCGACAACGCCTGTTTCTCTTCGCCGAATTCTTCTGCCCGCATCTCTCAAAAAATTCAAGGTATTCGAAGCCTAATACAGTATTAAGACTGCTAACTGTGTATTTGCTCAATAACACTTACCATCCTGGGCAAAGGTTCTCGCGAACGTGCTGAGAGACGGTCTCTGGACACGCGACATTCATGGTTAGAGATACTTTGATTGCGTGGCGATATCTAAGCCTCATAATCCTGACCGGTCGTGTGTGGCATGAATCTTAGTCGCCGTTCAAGTTGGGGGCTGCATGCGGGGTAGTGTTCGTTCGTCTGGGAGTCTCAACCCAGCTAATCATAGTCGCGCAGCCCTGTTAATTAGGGCGCAGTCCTGGTGTCCATCTGATGGATGCCTGTAATGTGGCGTCTCTTGGAACCGGAAGGGAGGCGTATTTATCGATAATGATCAAGGGCGGGAGCGACGTCCCGCTCGTGGCTGCCGACCCGCGAATCATCTTGCGTGCGGTGAACACCGAAGCTGCTCCCGTGCCACCATCTCAGCATCCAACGTAAGCAGAAGATAACGTACCCGCATACAAGGCTTCCATCAGCTCTTCCCTCTGCTACTCGAGAGCCGACATATCATAAGTGCGGGGTCCCCTACGCGTAGTCGTGTGCTAGTCTTTCAGATCCACCACAATGAATGCATTAGAATGGGAAACAGAAATAGGAGGGACGTTCCGCATTCACCGGGATGTGACCAGAGGTAGGCGTTCCTACAACCCCGACGTCAGGTTTCATATACTAAGCACTGCGGATTAGCTATGCCTGTCGGTACCAGGATCATATCTGCAGAGCCTTGCGGTGTTTCTGCCTGGACGAAGACAGCAAAGATTGACGTGATGCTTCCGGACCAAAGCTTAAAGACCTACTTCCTCAAAGTATGTCGTGGTAGAGTAGAAGGTATCCGTACTTGCTGACATATCGTTGCAACACACAGTGCGCCACCGGCCAGGGCTCAAAGGCTCTTGTCGAAGGCGAGTACGAATCTGCATGCGCTATCAACAAGATAGTTCCAGGTCTGGTTCCTCGAGCGACAGGATGGGGAAAGTATCTAGATGGTAGCACCCAGGTGTATTTCTTCCTTGGGAACCACCACGACATGGACCTTGTACCAGCCCCAGAACCGGCAAGCCTTGTGGAGAGAGTTGCCAAAATGCACATCGAAGGGAAGTCTCCAAATGGCATGTTCGGATTCCACGTACCAACAGTGTGCGGCAAGTTTGAACGCACGACGAAATGGGAGAAGACCTGGGCGGCATGCTTTACCAATTTGCTCAACGATGTGATCAGATACGACAACGAGACCAACGGTCCTTGGCCAGAGTTTGACGCTGCCTGCAAGCAAGTCATCGACGTCGTTATCCCAAGACTCCTAGGTGCTCTCCAGTCAGATGGTCGGAACATTGAGCCTGTGTTGATCCATGGCGATTTGTGGGAGCAGAATGTTGGCATCGACATGGAGACCGGCGATACAATCCTGTTCGACCCTGGATGTGTGTATGCCCATAATGAGATGGAGTTCGGCACATGGAGAGCGTCTTGGGCCTGCCATTTCAACTCTCCGATATACATGCGATTGTATCAGCGCCATATCGAACCCTCTGAGCCTGTAGACGAGTGGGACGACCGCAATCGACTTTACAGTATCCATATATATCTGAACGACTCCGCGGGCCATCCTGGTAGTATCTCGAGGGCTACGTGAGTGATCTTCTGGCAGTACATAAATCTGAACTGACGAGATCCAGAGCTTACAACGACATGTTGTACTTGTGCGAGAAGTACGCACCGTTAGAAGGCCTAGGCACGTATCGTCCAGAGAATGACGTTAGCGTTACTGGCGCCTATATTGAGCACGAAACCACGAAGATGAGCCATCCTCATCATGCCGTAAAAGCTTGACAATCGATACTCCCTCATCATCTTGATGCCTGAGCGGACGTCGGTCTCTTGGGAACTTGTGCTTCGGTTGCGTCTCGGCTGTGTTCTCCGGGCGTCGCGATCATTGCCGCATTGACGAGCGAAGCTATCGTGATAGGATGTGCTCCAGGGCTGTATATATCCGCGCTCGTAGAGGCTGGAATTTGGGTGTGCGGTGCTGGTGATGGGGAAGCGGTGCGTCCCCAAGCTCGACGCGTTCCGAGTGGGCATCTGGGTACGCGTCACGCGCTAGCTGAGGAAATCGGGGTGGCAGGTGCTGCCCACACGATGCATCGGATTCTTCTAGCTTTCGCGCTTGCCTTTAATAAATCATCTTACACGTCACTGGCTTCGGAATTCGCAGTTCAATAGACTTGCACTCAACGATACGAAAAGAAGATGTGCATTTAAGAAGAAGAAAAAGTTGCATAGAATTACATATCTCAACTACCAATTCCCAGCCCTAGACCCTACTGCCCCACAAAGAACAAGGCTAGAAAGTAACGAATTCAAGAGACGTTGATGAAAAGTGACTGACTACCGGAGCGATCCCGCTTTTCTCAAAACGCCTTCAAGACACAAAAGTCAAACGCCAAACCAAATGAGTGACATAGGAGATGCCAAAGTTCCTGACCACCAGTTCCAACAAACGAGACATTCCAAGTGCTAATACACAGAGAGCTAGCTGTGCAGGCTCAATCAAGCCAAACGCTTCAATCGCAAAGGAAGGACAGCCACCTAGGCCTTAGCCTTCTTGGCAAGGTAGTATGTCAAGAGGTTCAAGTGCTGTTCCCTCGCGCCGGCAACAGCTTTCCAGAAGCCGCCGTCTTCTTTCGCGCCGTCGGAGCCATTGATGCGTTCGTGGAGGGCGATGCAGAACTCGATGTCTGCTTTGCGCACGTCGGCGTCTTGGTCGTCCATGCAGCGTACGGCTAGTCTGCCTAGACGCGCAGTCTGTTCGGCGGACAGTGTGACGTTCTTGGCGCCGCTCATCTGCACGAGGGATGCGAGTGTGGTCAAGGCCATGGTTGTGGACCGAGTCGACGCTTGACCCGGTTGGGAAGAGACTGAGGACTTGGAGTTTGGCGAGGATGTTGGCGTCGATGCGGGTGTGTCCTCGATCATCGCAAGGACGGTGTTGAGACAATCCAGAGTCTGTCCATACTTGACAATCTCATCTGCGGTCGCTTCGAGATCGATAGCGATGTGAGATGTGCTTTCGTACTGTGCCTTCGTTTGCAGGATAGTGCGGAGGACGCGGGAGTAGTACTTCGAAGTCTCCTTGCGGTAGAGTGATAGCAACGCGCGAATTGTTGCTAGAGCCTGTACTTTTAGATTGACAGCTTTCATCTGAGGCGCCTTCAACTCGTGGACGGGTGCCTCAAGGAAATCCAGACATGCCAGTAATAGCCTGCCAAAGTTCTCGTCATTCGGCCCCCAGATTTCTTGGTTCGACTTGACCATGTCCTGCATGCGGCGGAACATGTGAGCTTCGACTGTGCGTCCTTCGATCTTTTTGATGCCGCTTGTGAGTAGCTGTCGGTTCTTCAGCACTTCAGCATCGTTTGTCTCGTAGCTTTGCGTGTGCAGGACACTTCCTGTGCTGTTCGTCTTGTGGTGGCCGCGAGGGCGCTCTTCGTTATCGTTGCCCATCATGACATCGCTTGTCATGCTTCCAGTACTTTGGCGGCGCTCGTTGCTCTTCTCGTTGATGGGAAGCTCCTCCAGGACCGGCTTTTCTGATCCATTCTCGACACGTGTGTGCTCCTCGCCAACAAATGGATCCTCAAACACTTGCACTTCATCTCCGGCGTCGGTACCGCGAGTGCTTGGTCGGTCTGGTGACCGCAGGCGTGGGCTGCGTGTCGAAGACCGTAGGCTAGCGCTGTCTAGGTGCCCCATAGACTTTGGACTTCTTAGCGCTGCAGCACGAGGGCTGGGTATTGGCAGTCGACCGATGGACTTTCTCGGCTTCGGTGGCGTGTTATGTGTGGATTGTGTCGTTGGTTTCGCAAGGTTAGGAATGACCATGGTAAAGTTGTCTTCATCTCCCACATCCACAGCCTCATCGTCTCCAGCTACACTTCCACCCAGACCATTCCTTTGTCGAAATGGTATAGTACCTGCGTCATGCTGGCTTTGTGATCGAACCCAAGGCTTCACCATCGATAGGTCCTCCTCTTTTGCTGGGCTCACAGCCGGGCTCTCGCGACGAGAGCTCGCACTAGGAGACTTGCCATGGGCAATGGGTTGGCCAATTCTTGATTTGGGCCGCGCCGGACTAACTTGCGGGCTGTTCTGTGTTTGCGCACGCGGCCTTGAGCTGCTCTTGGGTACAGCAGGCTTCTTGGTCGCCGTTGGAGCAGGTGTCTTCTCTGGGGTCATGTTGGGCGTGCTCTTCCCTGGTCGTCGGACAGCATATGGATCCGCGGTCGCTGGTCGGTTCAACTCTGGTCGGCGGACCGGACGACGGACTGTGCCCGACATCAAGGAGCCGGTACCTGTGGAGTTCTTCAGCGCTGACTTCGTTGACTCTCCGGACATGGCAGAGGGTGGTCGCGCCGGACCCGAAGAAGCCGTGGAGAGGTTCGACGTTGTTCTCGCGCCCAAAGACTTGGCCGATTGCGATGTTGGCACTGGTGTATAACTAGCAGCAGCAGAGTTGGGGCGTTCGGGGACACCTTTCGCGGCCGCTAGCTTTGCTCTCCTCTGTTCAGCAATCTTCTCCTTCAGGGCACTCCGCGAGGCACCCGGGCCTATTGATTTCGAAAACGAAGCTGCGCTTGTCGTGGACGAGGGGGCTGAGCCGTTCGGGTTGTTGGGGTCCTTTTCGAGTGCGGTCTTTTCTCGCTTGTCGAGCGTATCGAACATCCTGAAAGCTGTGTTAGTGACTGATGATGCCTCCATGTAGTCAAACTTACTTCTCAGCCCTCTGAGGCCATACTAAAGCGTACGTCCAGTAGGCGCTTCGGTATGCCTCTCGCACCTTGGGGTTGGCGTCAGTGACACCCCTCCGGATCAAGGTGTCCAATGTCTCCAGCCCTCCTGAGTGTTCGATATGCGAGGTGTGCCTCTTGATCAGGGTCTTTGCCCAGGTCGCAGAGTGGGTTCGGGGTTGCACGTTCTTGTCTTGTGAGGCCATGGCTACGTGCTGCAATACGCGACTGTTGTAAGACACGCTCTGGAAAATGGTGTCTACTGTAACGGCTCCGTTCTGCGCTGCAATGTTCTTCGTAGCACCACACATCTTGATGAAGGATTGCAGGAGAATCTCAACCCAGGGGTCGATCGCAGAGCCGAGTGTCTTTGCAAGCTCCTGAACCAGCAGGCAGCCGTTGGTGGACATGGTTGTTCGAAGCGAGTTGGCGACCTTGAGGATACCGTCTAGGAGCGATTTGATGCCGGCGATGAAAGTTGCGTGGAACTCATGAGGCGCGTTGCCCTTGAGTATACGTCTCAACTTTGTGCAGTTCTTATCTCTGGCCAGCCAATTGCCCTCGCTCTCCTTGCCTTCGTAGCAGGGCGCCATGTCGCGGAACACGTCGTCGAGCTCGCGCTGTGTGTAGATGTGTATGGGGTCCATGACGACAACCTCGACCGGGGGAGGCTGCTCATCCGCAAAGCTCTCTGCCAAGCCGACGTCGGGTTGCAGCGTCTGGGCGCGTTTGGATACGATGGGTCGGGCGACGGGGGCGGGAGGCTGGGCAGGCGTGACGTCCACACTCTTAGCCATGGCATCGTCGTCGAGGTGGGAGGTGATGTAGGTGGCAATGGCTTTCCGGACATTCAGGGCCACGAGCTGCTTCTTAAGATTGGCTTTGGCGTGTTCCGGAGCGTGTCTGTCGTGATGTCAGTTGCTACCATGGTGCAGCATATCCGCCAATGGACGTACCCAAAGAGCTCCACAACCGCCTTCTTCGCCGTGTCGCGCACGGCGGGATCCGCGTCTTCGCAGTTTGCCACGAGCTGGTTGGAGTAGCTCTTGAAAGGGAGCCCTTCGCTCTTGTTCATCTGTCGTCACCCAAGCGTTAGAACATTTTCGCGCCTGCCCGATGCGCTACGGGGGACCAACCTTGACCACCCACAACATGGCGGATTCTTTGGCGCGCGGGTTTGTGCTCTTGATGGCATCGTGTATCAGCGCGTCAATTTCCATGGAGCACAGGTAGTGCAGGTCGGCCAGAATCTGCGAGGCGGCGCTGCGGTGGCTTTCGCGCCCATCGCCCAACTTGTCGGCGAGGATGGAACATAGTATGGGCGACTGTGACGTAAGAATCGACGTCTCCTTCTGCAGTTGCAGGCGCTTGATGAAGTGGCTCAGCGTCGAGAAGCCCGTGGACACGAGCGCGGCCGAGGTGGCGGCGGTGCAGGCGATGCGGATGCACTCGAAGATAGGAGCCTGACAACTTTCAGGGACCCGATTGTGCTTGATGCTCGACTTGAGCGTGCTGAACAAGGCCAGGCGCGACTGGACATCGGTCGACGGCTTCTGGAGTGCCTTGAGCAGGTCCGACGTCTCTTTCTCCATCGTGGGCGCAAATTGGCCCTTTGTCGCAAAATAATCCGGCAGCGGTAGAGGCGGGGTGGTTTGTATATGTTATGAGAGTTGTTTACGGCGGGCAGCCATCCCCGTTCACGCTAGACCAGTGTCCGAGCAACCGTGCGCTTTACATGCCGCACTGCCGCTACCCCAGGGGCGCACGGCGATCCACCCTCGAAGCTTCCAGATGAATGCGAACAGCTGGTCAGGACGTGTCGCTTATTCCAATTGCAAGGCTGCTTTGA